CATGACAATATAAATATCATAAACCATTCGGTAGAGTTGAGCCAATACTACAATTTCCAACAAATTTCACGGGTGTAATTTTGTGTCAATATGTTTTGTACTTCATCAATTTTACGATTAAAAACGATATGCGAGGCAGTTCAATCAGACGTTCCAGCAAGTCTCCTTTAAATACAATATATCAAAATATATCGTCAGTACATTGGCTATATTTAAGCATTTACCAAAAAGAAGCACTATTCTTATATCTTACAGCAAAAGCTATGGGAGATATTAATATTGAATTGGAGATGAGTTAGACCGATATTTTACGAAAAGAACACAAATTGGCGTAATACAATGGCGGAAGCAACTTAAAACTAACTTTCCACACATATCAAAATTCGTACTTAAAACATTAACTATACCTGCAAATAGTGCGGCGTCTGAGCGTGTATTTTATAAGATTTTTAGATTTAGCAGTTCTGTGAAAACATGACCAAACAATTGTGAGTATTTGTTAAATAAAAGTTCAGCAGCACACAAGCTAAACACTTGTAATCCTTCCGTGAATAATTTGCTTGCTTCACACTTAATTTTTCGAAAGTAACTCAGTTATGTTTAACTCATTCACCGCAGATCACTGATTCGAATCAGTTATGGCATATTCAAATAAAACTCTTGCTCCACATTATGCTCTCGTATGAGTAAGCTTACATCGAAGCGAAAAGTAGAAAGGCGAAACAACATGTTTAACAACTCTTATCTTTTTACTCTTTGCCAAGCAACAGTCGTCATTTTTATGAGAAGCTTTCATTGTGACATATCCGTTGCTTTGCTCGATTTATTGGTAAAGCATGAATTGGCACGAAAGGCGCGAAAAGTTGAATGTGAATGGACCATTACATTAAATTAGTTTCGAGTCCCGGAACATTTTTTTTTATTAATGTCATACATTCTCATTAATTTAAGCAAGCCAATAACAACATTTAATTAGACCAGCCTAACAATCCAAGCCCCTAACGGTTTCGTACACTCCATTCATAGGTGCAATCTCTAAAGGTGGGAGAGTTACATTGTAATAGAATATGTTAAAATATAATTAAATGGTTGTAATATTTTCAGTTTAATTTTTCAATAGCTTTAAATGAATAGTGATGCCGAAATTATAAAAACAAAGTCATGATATACTCTCCATGTCATCCGAATACTATAACAATACCTTTTTATAATCATACATAATTACTTATGTACACTAAGTTGCATATTCCTTTGCAGTGAACATACCACCTGACACATGGGGTTTCGTCATTTTCGAGCAAATAGATTTACCAATACATTTCTTATTGTTATGATTACGACATACATTCAGTACACATTTACAAATTTCAGACAAATTAGTACAGACAACTATTACTACAATTATAATTTAAAACACTATACACATCCTCAGCAGTACAACAAAATAAATAAACGCGCTCTTATTTATTTTCTTATAGTACTTGGATGTTTAGTATTATTTTACCTAAATACTGTTAAGCTAAATGATTTGTATAATATAAACATTTGTTTTACTTTATATTTCATATAAAATCAGTCGTTTTTGTGTTTTTACGATTATTTATGTTCATATGACCTTATATCTGCTACATTAATTTTTTCGTTCGTGATTATGTAATTCCATCTGCAACGGATGGATAAAGAAATGGAAAGATCTAAATCGACTAAAGAAATACTTAAAAACAGTACTAGTGAGTATCTTTGAGATTTGTAAAAGTTTCAGCAAATTATATATTTGTATATTTTACGATTTTACTTTTGCAACTGCAATAATATGTATAAATGATCAAGGGCTTTTTAAAAAAAAACATTAACAATTATTTCCAGCTGACTTAGCGATTTTAGTTATAATTAAAAATTTGGATTTAGTATTTGACGTGGAGGGAAAGTATATATATATACATATACTGGTAAAAAGTAACGCCGTTAAAAATTTAGTTCGATTAATAAACTTTAAAGACTTTTGCCAATTATATCCTCAGAAACAAATGTACGCATAAGAGAATATAGAAGAAACTAAAACATTTCATATAACGTTTCGTTGCTGTGATAAAACATTCCAAAGCTCTTGCACACGCAGATTAAAAAAGTAATAGTTACATTATACAATTGTCCAATATAAATCTAGTGACGACTTTACTTCCTCAAATTGTTCAGCATATAGCTATTTGTATTTTTGCTGTGATCCACACTGACTTTTTCAAATTATTGCTTGCTATTTGTATACAATTAGTTGACGTTGTGCTACTAAATGAAGCAAAATCTTATCAAGAGCTGGTAAATGTGTTGCCTTTCTTTTCTCTTTTGTTGAATAAAATTGATTTCATATATGTTTGTTTCGACAGAATTGAAGACACTTAACAAATATATATTGCATACAAAAGTAAATTTCTAAACAGTACACATTTTTACTCTCCTGACATCATGTTATGAACTTGCTCCAATTTAAAAGCAAGTCTCTGTTTTTGTGAAAATTCATCTTCTTCTAATGTTACAGTTAATTGTTCATTGTATTTTACAGCATAAGTATATAGTTCGTGGAGGGCACAATTTGTATTGAACTCCGTTGTATGTAGCTGAAATAAAAAGTTGCAATATATTAATCGAAGTTATATAAATATATAATTCATACTCTCGATTCTTCGGCTAACATAGCATTCATGTCTTGATCGGAGATCGATGGCATTTCTCTTATATCACGATAATATCTTTCAACCCATTTGCGATATTCCGGTATGTCTTTTGCGTACAACAATTTCGAGCTCGGGGAATCTTTACCTGTTTAAACTTTTGTACATTAATTTGATCAAAAAAATACCTTACGAAATTACCTAAGCGATGATCTGATGTTGAGCAAGAGTCCATAAACGTCTGTGCTACGACTGATAAGCAGGAATCAACTATGTTTGATTTATGTATGTCAAACACAAAATTTGGATTTTTAATTAAATTAACCCAAAACCTAAAATAAAACTATTTTGTAAACAGAAAGCAAAGATGATCGAGAGAGATCCCAGACATATTTACCTTAAGGGCAAACTATTACTTTTCCAAGTGTGCACAACTTCGTGGTCTGTTATTCCATGTAGTAATGCTTGATCGTCCAAAAAGTCAAACATATATTTTATTGCTAATGGCAATGCGGAGCCTCGGTGTGCCGTACTAAAGATTGTCTCAAAAAGATCATCGACAAACTTCTGCAAAGTTCCTTTGGTTGCTAACAGACGTGTTAAATATATCTCCGACACCAGCTTATTGACACGTTCACCCTCTTTTTGTATATCGCTATCGTGGTGTTTTACCAAATGCCAAAATTTTATACCATTTTCATGTAAGTCATTATTTAAAGGGCTACCAGCTCGGCTAAACGTTGGTGAGGAAGATGTATATTTCGATAAATTCAATGTTTCATATCTGTGGAAGAAACGCAAGGACCAAAACTTAATTTAATATGTTTAAAGAATATGAAGGAAATATTCATGTAGTGCATAGAACATCAATGCGCATAACTTTAAAAAATTATAAATTAAATAAAACAATATTAATATAACTCACTTGTGGCACTTTTCATTTCTGTCCGAAAGTATTGAAAAGTTGTAGTTTGAGCTTTGCTTGGGTACTAAGCTCAGTCCAGCGCCGTCAGGAACATTATAGTGTTGTAGTGCATTGAGTTTTTTCCATTCACTCTCAGTTTTCGAAGTTGTATCTTCATCATATAAAATTACACGACCACTAGCTCCCGTACGCCATTCTGAGAAAATGGAAATAGATATTTCAAGTGAAGGTTATAATGTTAATTTCGCTAGAAGTACCTAAATCTAAGTCATCTCTTCGCGGTCGTTGACTCCAGGGAATGTTACGATATATTGTGTCTAAGCACTTTTCCTTAACTTGACCAATTGTATCACAATCAAGGACCTTGACGGGTACATTTTCAGTATGTGTTGGCATCATATCAATACTATTGCAGAAAATCGGCTGTTGTATAATACTAGCGAATACCGTCATTGGGCGAAAATCAATAAGCTGACGTATAAGCTTTTCTTCACTTAGCGAGTAACGGGCCTCGTGTGTACACGCGTCAACGGGTCCTTTATCTACTTGACCTTTGACTGCTCTAAACAGCATATACAATGGTTCGCCAGCACATTCTTTTAAGAACTTATATAGCAAAAAAGTGAACCAAGCGCTAAGCATTTTTTCTGCCACACTTTCGGTACGACGCAACAGAAGTTTTGGATGACTTTTCCCTTCAATACATTTTTCAATTAAATCACCAAGCAACGTTTTTAATATGTCGGTGCAATATTCCAACTTTGATTGTAGTGTTACCATTATAAGAGAAGCGACGTTAACACGCTCACGCATGGAAAAGTAACGATTCGATTCTAATGTTCGAATAAAAAGTAATAAAAATGTTTTATTCATTATAAGTTGACCAAAAAGGCGCAATCCTTTTTCTTTCCGTAGTAATTCAGGACGTTCCCATTGTAGTACAATATGATCTTCGTGATTTGGAAAAAGAATTTTCATAGCATATGTACGATAGTCCAAAAAAGGTATTCCCCCAGAAGTAAGATCACCTGTTAGATCTGTCATTTCAGTTTGAAGTTCGGCAAAAGCTTCTTTACATTCCGCCGCAACACGAAGCTCTAATATATCCATTTGCTCTTGCATGTTACGCAAAACGCGATTTGATTCAGAAGTTTTCTTTTTGTATGCTACGAGAAATGCGACAAAAATCAAAAGAATCACCACTGTACCCGCTCCGATACCTAACTGTACATTCTTGCTTAAGTCATGCATTAAATTTGGTGATGCATAACTCAATATCCCAATGCGATATTGCAAAGAATGTCCTATACGTACAACTACTTCTGGACCTGATTCATTGTTCGATTCTGTTGCTACTTCTGGTGGCGGACGGCATGTTAATTGTTGACGGGACAGTGATGTTATGTTACAAATACCTTTTCCAATTCGTACAACTACGTCCGTTTCCTTACATGCGCGATCCAAATTTCGTCCATTAATTGTTAAATATTCACTTTTATAATATTTTATATCCTCTTCGAAATTGTAATATAAGGGATTTGGATAAAGCTCAAAATGATTATTTTGCTTACTAGAGAGATTTTGAACTCTCAAAACGTTGTCCATAATAAAGCCATATTCTAGTAGTTCCGGATTATCTGCATCAAATATGTCATTGCCTGTTTCAATTACAGGAGAATAACATAACATATCCGTCCCCGATTGAACCTTACATTGGCTGTAAAATATTTGACTTTTATAATATACGTACATTCTTGGACTTTGAATATAGTTGAATTGAGTTCCGGTTACAGCGATTTCAATACCTCCTGCTGGAATACCACGGGGTACTTTTAGTTGGCTACTAGGACCTGACGACACTTGATCTATAGTGGGATCCAGAACATACTTAAAATTATATTCGTTAAACTCCCGGGGTCCATTGTCAAATAGCATTTTGAGGCGACCTTCTATGATACCTGGTGAAGGTGCGGTGCGACATATAGCTTCCGTAACATCTACGCTAATTATTTCGCAACGCAGATGTTCATTTATAAATGCTTGAATTCGGGATCCGGCATTTAAATATTTTCCCACTATCCTTAAGTGAGTACCACCAGAAACTGGACCATATTGTGGAGAAAAATGTGTAATTTTTGGATCAACAAATTCGTAATCCTCTTTAGATTCACCCCTATAATCACCAATTTGTACAACAATGCGACCACTTCGATACAATTGAACCCCAGGACTATCTACGTTGCAAACAATTTCCTTCGTATCAACATAGTATTCTGGAAAAGGCATGCAGCTGATACCAGCAATTCGAACGCCTGAATATATATCAGAGAAATTCTTTCCTAAATTAATACCGCGTATAGTAATGTTGGTCCCGCCTTCCCAGGGACCAGTTTTTGGATAAAATAAATGAATTTCAGGATTGGGGCAAGTTTCCATACGATTCAACCAATCCGTTTTACCTTCATTATTTTTATTACATTGTTCTTCAACTTCACACGTATTTGTAGACGAACACCAACCACAATTATATTTTTCTGATAAAGCTAAACACATACCACAGCTGTCAGCCATATCACGACATCTATATATCACAACTAAAAATAAAAATTGAAATATATGTTATATTATTAGTTTTCACTTTAAAGCGAAATAGTTTTGATAAATTTAAAACACAGAAGGCCCGAGGCTTCTCTCAACAAAGCAAACCAAAGAAATGCCATGCAAAACAGTGTATTTATAAGGTTAGAAATTGACAGAATTAAAAAAAATATATTTTTCTCACATTTTTTGAAACAGTAATATCTTAGAAATATTGTCCGAAAATTTTAAGAAAATCATAAAAATACTTTTCTATTTATTCGATAATTAGCAAAGGGTTCTCGGGCGGATCGTTCTAGAACAGGTATTTATTAGCAGCTGCAAGCGAATAGTAAATGGGGTAGATTTTAAACAAATTAAAATTTATATATTTTTTCAAATCAAGTCATGATGCTATGTTTTGAAAATAATGAAATAAAATAATGTACTGGTAAAAAAAATTATTTCGAATATAAATTTGAAGTGGATCTAAGTGAATTTTATTCTTGTTATAACTACTACTTACCATGAATATCATGAGGGTTATCGAGTGGCTTTGAGCCACCCCAGATAACAGCAAATGTTGCAGTTAAATTAGGAGAACGGGAAGTGTATTGGAACTCCATACTGTCACAATATATAGTATCTCCCAATAATTGTGCGTTTAAACTAGTGACACGCCCTTCGATATTAAACTGGCATACAAAACGAGTTTGTACTATAAACTGCCCAATTATATGCACTTTAACTTTTATGGACTTACTAGTCCCAGCAGCAACAAGCATCTCACTACCTTCACCAGTGGCGTTTATAGTTGGACAAAATCCAGGACCTGAACGGTAGCTAGGTCCAATGCGACTAACTCCAGTAACAAGAATGTCATTGCGACAATTTTCAGCAGTGTCATGTGTACATCGATGAGCTTCCACACACCAATCGCAAGGAAATTCCGAAGATACACAGCGAGTACATGATGAATGTGTGCTACAATCAAAAAAAGTAAAATCGGTGGAAACAAGATCTGGTCCATCCTTAGTTCGTACGGATAGTTTGGCGGTGAAATGATGTTTTCCCTGTTCTATTTGTGGTAGCATATCTGTACGTGGAGTTGTGCAATTCACACCATTACGCTTTTTTGTAGCATTTGTAAAAAGTGCTTTTTCTTCAGTAGTAAATGCGCAAACAAGATTTTCTTTCAATTGCGGCAAATGGTCGATAATGAGTTCTAAAGTTCTTGCTGTAGTACGCTGAAGTTGATGTGGTACAACACTTGTAATTGTAGTGCATTTTCCTGTTTTATAACTAACCCAATAGAGAGGGTCATTAGCATCATCTTGGCAGCTAGAACGTGGACTACATTTGTTTTCAAGTGAACACCAGCCGCAATAGGGATCGCGTGCACCCAAACACTCTCCACACGTTCTATAGTCGGAGCAATCATAAACCTTAACTTTAGCTACTTCATTAAGCGACATTACGTATATAAACAGATTTCGGCTATCAAAGTGCATATCTGGATTAATAGGAGAACCCACTTTTATTGGTATATCCGCATACTCATTTGCGGAATCCACTGATTCAACAACTACTTTTTTCAAATGTCCATTTGCAGTGCCGATGAAAACTACCGTATAGCCACTAGTACTTGTAGCCGCAACTGCTGTGAGCCGAGTATCAAACTTGGCTACCGGTACGACGGCAATGGGTTGTTCGCCTCCCAAGGGCGAGTTCACGTCGAGTCCGCAAAAATCCTCGCCAATAGTTTGTAATTTCTATGAAGAATTGCGAAATAATATTCGTTATTTGTCTGAAGTTACTTGATTACGAATTTAAGTTATTATAAATGATCTAGTTGACGACACGAGTAGAAATCCGTGTGACTGTCTATGCAAGACAGAACTTGAGTAAAAATAAGATATCCTGATAAAACTTTGCACACGTGTTTCTTGAAAGAATTGGCATGCAGTGTCATCGGATTATTGCAGGCCCATAAAATGACGCTTAGCGGAAACCTAACTATATAGTATTATGATAAAAAACAACTATAATTTGATACAAGAAAACGCTGTGGTAAGGGGCACTTGTAGTCTGAAATTAAAAAAAAAGTGGGTGTGGTCTGCCTCTAATAGGTACACACCACAAACCTCTTAAGCTGGATCAATCAAACTGTCTGAGGAGGACTCAATTCGATAAAACTCTTCGAAAAATATGTGAAATCAGATAGTACGTCTACACCTCATATAACGGTTATGTTGAAAACTATTAAAGGTGCGATAACCCAATAAAGTAAACACCGTCAGATACAATAACCTTTACAATCGAAGTGGCACGAAAAAGGCTTCAATTTGAACCAGTATTAAAATTGGAACATGTACATGAAGTCCTTATCTTCTACACATTCATGATAAAGTGTGGGAATGCTTGAAATTGTATTGCAACCATGCAATACTACATATAAGGTAATATTTCAACGTCCATCTAATTCTTTCATTTTACAGTTTATAGACAACAATTGTCCGAATACGTTGGACCGGTGAAAACTCTTGATTGTTGTTGATCGAAAATATCGGTAAAAGTCTGAGATATATTATAGAAATTCGAAAAAAAATGTGTTCCTGATAATTATGTCATGGACTGGGACAACACTTCCCTTAACCACATACAGCTCGACCATGAAAAAAGAAGGTACACTTGAATTTTGTTTCTATTGGAATCAGTCCAAACCTTCTCCAACCACAATATATATAATAAATATATTAGGTTGTCAAAAAATTCTTGCGTGAGCGCGTAGTTGTAGTTTTATTCGTCGCATCGGGTCATGCTATACCTTTTTGGAAAGCTCATTTCACGCGCTAACACGTGTTTGATTGATTCTTTTAAGTCGTTCGTGAGTTATAGCGTCTCAAACATGGAGCAAAATAAAGAGAAAATACGGCATATTTTACAATACTACTACGATAAAGGCAAAAATGCATCTCAATCCGCCAATAAAATTTGTGCAGTTTATGGACCCGATACAGAGTCCATTTCCACCGCACAACGATGGTTTCAACGTTTTCGTTTTGGTGTAGAGGTGGTCGAAGATACGGAAGGCCTGTCGTCGAAAATTGCGATAAAATCGCTGAATTTTTCGAAAGAGACTGGCATAGTAGCAGCCGTAGCATCGGTCAAGAGCTCAGCATGAGGATGAGTCATCAAAAAAAAATATTATGAACAATTGAAAATTCAATAAGAAATACCGCAAGACTTTTTCGACAACCTAATATAATATGTTGTCAAAACGTATTCATAAAAGGTATGATTTTTTTTTAATGGAATTGTTCTAGACATTGACCTAACCCTCATAACCCTAGTATAATGATTTCCGATCCTCTCTGGTTGCTGCTTTCCACATCAATCTAAGAATAATTTTAAGTGATAACAATTATAAATCAAGTATTTGCTAGCAAATACAATGCACATACATAAGTACTTACTGAATGCTTTCGAGTTATAACTTTTACTAAAACTTATTAGACAAATTTTAAAAATCAAAAATAAAAGGTGAGCATACTTACAGTTGGAACACATAACATATTTGGTGATATAAAATCCAGACCGCGAGAGCCAACGCCATTAAAGCAAGATTTGATATTCTGCATAAATTTTCGCCGTATAGATTTTAATGAGTAAATGCATAAAGCTGAATTATCAGTAGATACATTTCCATCTCCAACACTAAATACTCCGAAGAGAACGTCATCTTGGACGGTAATGCCCAGACTTCCGGCTAAATCCATACTCGGCTTACCTAAGTAACCAGCCTGAACTAGATTATATTTAGTTCCACCAGTTATACAGTCAATTGGGATTTCTGTGTATGAATAGTAGTTTGAGTCTTCTTGGCAAATACGCACAACTTTTGTTATATACTCTTTCGGCGAAGAATGATAATTGTGTTTCAATTGGGTCGTTAAAAAGTATGAGAACCTTTCAGAACTAAATCCATAAACGTAATTTATTAAATAGCCTTCTCGGGCGTACGAATTTATAAAGGTTCTTGTGCCCGTTGTAACTGCTGATGATGCGATTTGAAACATTTTAGTTTTTTCGAGTGAGCGTGATGCTACAGCAGGAATCTCGCTACGATATGGAGAATTGTTTGTGTACGTGACACCTACATACATGACGTTGGTGATCGACGGTTGTGGTGGCCCTGGCGCTATAAATGCTACAGTGGATGAGTTTGCATCATTCGCAACAACTGCATCTGGTACATCCTGTTCGACAATGCTAATATTTTGCAAATTACGCACAGAGCACGTGCCTTGAAATAAAGATCCGCACGCAATTAAACGTGAGGTAGCACGATCGATCAGCAGCACCTTGTTATAATTGTCTGTAGGCTTGCGTACGGCATGAGCTGGGCAATCTAAGACAGTGCATTCGACCGAGTCATTTTTTGGGCCGGTTTTTACTGTTTCGTGTAATTCTAACTCCGGTGAAAGTTGATATAAATAATTGACACCACCCACAAATACCCGTCCAGTGAATGTGTCGACAACCAAATGATTCAACGGTGTATCAAAATTAATATTATTAGTTATTATGTTGCTATAGTTTTTGGCATCAACAGCACCTCCTTTTCCGCTATCTTCTCCATCACCGAATTGTGCTGAGGCAGATAAGGATGGTGAACTTCCGCCATTACTATCAGAAAGCGCAGATTTTAAGCTAGCAGATGTAAAACCGTCGATTATACCGTCGTTATTTTGCACAAGCTCCTGATCATCACTCAAAAGTTCTGTATTGTGAATATGTACCGCATTTAATAAGGAGCTGGCGTATAAAATATCTGTTCCGATGTGATTATTATCATTAATTCTACTACTACTTTTAATTTGGCTATTTTGGGTATTAATGCTTCTTATAGAGGTCACGTAATGTAGCATGAATGCCAGAAGGAACCAAATTATAGCCCGCATGATTCATAACATCAAATCTACAAAGAAATAAATAATACAAAAAATATAAAATCCGCATTGAGTAATTTAATTTTATTAAACGGATTAAAAGAATGTATTTTAACATTGTTATTGAATACGCTTTACTACTACTCTTTACTGTTGCGGTGATCAGATGTAATCAAGTTTTAACAAAAATTCAAATCTCGTCACAATATGAATTTTCAGTTGGCTTCAAATTATTAAACAAGAAACTGAATTTGGTAGTTCTTTTTGTGAGGCTGTACTGTTTTTAATAAAAAGTGTTTTATTTGACAAGGTCACTCTCGAATGATGATATTCCAATATCACCATTTCAAGTAGACGTTTTTCAGAGTTAAACAAAAACAAAAAAGGTTGTACAGAATTCAATAAGTCCCGTGTTGGTTAAAGAATGGTGGCTTACTGTTGTTATATTCACACGGTATTTAACATTTTGAAACTGCTTAGTTATTTAATACAACAGCAATAAAAAAGTCCTAAAGGTTTAGTAAGATATCTATCTAGAATAGCTGAAACTTGCAATAAACTTAAATATCAAGTGGGATTGTTGTGTAAAAGCATAAAACAAAATTTTACTTCGATGAGATTTGAGCGGCGAAATAAACACACATGACTTTCTACTTCAATTTCCATAAAGGTTAATTGTAACCTTAGAGTGGCATGCCAAAGTTTAATATAAGAAGAAGGTAGCCAGAATTTCCAAGAATCCATTTATATTGAAGAGATATTCTCTGAAAAATTAAATTAAATCCGACGAATACTTCTAGAGTTATTTGATAAGTAGCAAAGGATTTATTTTTTATGTCCGATTTAATTTAAATGTGTCTCCAAGGATTAGTGATGGTCTCCGAACCAAGCTTCGGTTAGAACTAGATCAGCATAAAACGACATTAAGTAGTGGTCATTGCACAATAGAGCAAGTAAATAGAATTACTAACGAGATAAGAAAAGCATAGAGCACATGTTCAGCAATATTTCTAGATGTAGCTCAGGCGTTTGATAAGCTGCGGCACGAAAGTCACTTATACAACATTAAAAAAATTTACCTTTAGAATTGTATAAAAAAAAAAAATAATTGTCAATTATTTGTACAAGATAATCAAAGATGGTATCTCGCCCCACGTACCAGTCTATATAAATAAGCTAAGTAACTATCCATGTTGGTTCTCAACTGAATTAATTCGCAAAGTCAGGCTAAAAAAGGCAGCTCATTCAATATATAAAAACAAAGAATCCAGTCAGAACTATAAAAAATTTAGCCAACTCAGACACGAATGCAAAGAACTCAGTGCCTCATGTTATAAAAACTATGTAAATAAAGTTGAACAATTGGTCAAGTCAGACCCAAATGAATTTTGGAAATTCGTCAGGAATAAAAGAAGAAWTGKCTGTGACATTCCCTCCACCTTATCGTGGAATAATCAATCAACTAACAATGGTGAGGAAGTCAGCAACTTATTCRCTGCTTTCTTTAAAAGTGTATATCAGACCGAGGTACAGCAGCCAGGATTTGTCCAGGATTTTCATCATGATCGCCTACACGCGACTTTAGATAACTTTGAGGTTACCACTGACAATGTCTTTAGAGCACTTTCATCATTAAATCCTAAAAAARGTGCGGGACCTGATGGGATCCCCAATATTTTTCTCAAAAACTGTGCAGCAGGACTTTGTGAACCACTAACACACATCTTCAACGTCTCACTACAACAGGGTGCCTTCCCTACAATACGGAAACTTTCATATGTTAGCCCGATACACAAAGATGGACCCAAATCAGAAGTCTCAAACTATAGACCAATATGTATTCAGTCTGCGCTAGCGAAGTTATTTGAAAAACTAGTCTTACCTCTGCTGAGTTTATTCTTTACAGACATTATTACCAATAGACAACATGGATTTACTCGCGGGAGGTCGACATCATCAAATCTATTTACRTATGTCAACTATGTACTTRGTGAAATGAACAATGGGCACAGAGTACATGYTGTTTACACTGATTTTAGTAAGGCCTTTGACAGAGTTAATCACAGCATTTTATTGAATAAACTAAATTCGCTCGGCGTACAAGGTAATGCCCTGAAATGGCTCAGCTCCGACCTAATAGATAGACAGCTCCAAGTCAGAGTAAACGGTCACCTGTCTGCAAGTTATGATGTAAAAACAGGAGTACCACAAGGTTCACATCTTGGACCTGTCTTGTTTAACATATTTATCAATGATATTGGTACGAACTTCAGCTCGGAGTAGTTTCTTTACGCCGACGATTTGAAAATATGCAGAGCGATAGTAAACGACTCAGATATCCAGGCACTTCAGCACGATATAGATCAGCTCTCTGCATGGTGTCTCAATAAAAAATTCGATCTAAACATAAAGAAATGTGCAGTGATCTCTTTCTCGCGTTCACATACCACGCACCCCACCAATTACATGCTGAACAACAAAGTAATCTCTGAAGTAGAGGACATAAAGGACCTGGGCATCATTATAGACAGCAAGCTGACATTTACGAAGCACATCAGTAAAATAACTTTACAAGCACACAAGATGTTGGGCTTCATTACCAGAACTTGCAGAGATTTTG